CAATTGTTACACATTTCTTCCATTGCTTGTAGTACTGGGAACCACGGATTTGAATGGAGTACAGGCACTGATGTTGTGAAATGACACCTTCAGAGAATTTGTTCCACTGTGTTAGCCACTTTTGTCCTTTCCCTACTAATTTTGTCCACTTCTATTTGGGGTCATTTTACAGAAGCCAACCTGGCTCTTTTGATTTACTTCCTTGTTGGGGGTTATAACATCCTCTGGTATGTAAGTGGAAAAGCTCTAAGGATATTTTAGTTGCTGTGAACTGGGGAGAGTTGAGACCATGATGAGTCCATCAGAAATATATGGGCTGAGGGCCAAATTTGGATCCTAAGTGCTTTTAAGGCCTGAGCCTGTGAGATGCTGAGCTCCCCTAATTCCACCTAATTTAAAAGAGCACGGGCTCTCATCACCTCACAGGATCAAGCACTTATTGCAGATACTGTCTGTCTTGCTGTCTTTATCCTCCTCAATTTCTCCAATCACTGTATCTGAACACCCCCTACTCATTAAGAGTCTGATTCTTTGCCCATTGAAGTCAGTGGCACAGCTTCCAGGCCCTACTGTAACACTATAGGAACATTGTTTACGTGGACCTATATTTTGGCTGTCAGAACTACTCAGTGCCAGCAGCATGATCAATTCCAGTGTGGAAAAGGTGTTTAGGGTATTAAGGATATGTGCTTATGCATATGGGCCACTATCCACTGTGTCTCTGGCCATGAAAGAACTGTGGAGTGTGAGCATCGCAGGTTGAAAGAAGAACAACATAACTTGCATGTTGTGGTCTCTTGTGCATTGCTTTTCCGATGATGTCCTATGTGGAGTTTGAATTTGGCTCCGTATTTTGGGCTTTGTGTTCGTCTCAGTGCGTAGTTTCCTTTATTAGATTTATAACAGTTTTCAGGTAGGCCACATTTTTGGGTTTAAATGACTTGACACTCACTTAATAGGCAAGTGATGGCAGCCCAAATATGTCTGATTAGCATCCATAATAATTATGAAGGATTTAATAAAATATACAGATGAGTATTTCAGATTTATTTGACACTAACAGAACAGTAGAGGCATTAAGCTAGTTATACTGTGTATATGTCAAGACAGAGCTTAACAAAGTGTTAAATGTCGGCAGACATTTAACCATTCCGCATTATGTATTGGTACATTTCCTAATTAGTATGTTCTCTGTGTCTTTAAACCCCCTGACAACAACTCCATCAACTCAGAGGATTTCACCAGAATTTGGCAAAATAGGAACGAACCCGTACTAAATCCCACAATTTGAAATTTATTTGGAGGTGCTTTAAGATGCTAAACACCATTGATAATTGCAGTTAATGCATACTGCTAATTCAGACAGTAAGTGGTGATCTCTTATGCTAAAAAGTAACGTTGCTCAGCATATTGACATTTCCTTTTAGAATTTTAGAATCCCATATTTTTTTAAACAAAAGAATCTTCTGTTTCTTTGCTTTGTTCAAGGTAGAAATCTCCCTCAGTAGATCCTTAGAGAAGGCTTATGATACCAATTTGTGCTTTCAAATAAATATACAGAGCTGCTTATTCACCTAGGTTTGATTTGAGAAACACGGTGACATGTTTAAAGAAACCCCCAAACACCCAACATTTCAAATTAAAAAAACACATAGCAGGGCATGAGAAAGTCAGATCTTCATCTCTTTGTTTTTTGCTGAGGTTGCATTATCATTCAAGTGTGAAGTAATATTTCATTGAAGATGACTAGATAAAACAATACTCTATATTACACAGAAAAGAATAGCACTTTATTACAAGGAGCCAGTCATTTTTTATAGATAATGTAAAAATTATTTTCCCCCTATGGGCAGCTATGTCCCTCCCTCCCCCCCGAGTTAAAATTGACGGAAAATAGAACTCTGAGCGTACAATACTTACAATTCATTTGAATGATATTTTGTCTAGAGATCAGGTAAAACACAGAAGACGGCTCAAAACCAGATGATGTACATGACAACCATGTGGACTGAATATATACACGTTCTTTTTTTAGCAATATAGGATCAGATCCTGCAATCCGATCCATGTAGTTGGATCCCTGCACATATGTGAAGTCCACTTGAACTAGAGAGAACTGTACACAAGCACACTCACTTGTCCACCTGTATGAGTCAGATGGCAGGATTGGGAGTCATATTTACCAGTCAGCCCTTAAAAATAAGCTCTCTGTTTCCAATATAGTGTATGTCAATTATGTTAAAAAGTGTGTCCATAATCTTTTCCATGTCAGAAAGTATGTTCCATTGCTAATGTAAGGCTTTCTCCTGCAAACACTCAACTACAAAGGCTAGTGGTCAGTAGGATTATTCATGGTAATAACAATATACGTGGTAGCTAAGTGTTTGCAGGATTTGGCCCTTACAAGTTATTTTCCCTTTTCAAGAATATACTGTAACAGTGGTCTAAAACTCTATATTAATATTGTTCCAGTGGTTTGAGCCATTATTCTAGAAAACTGTAGTATTTTACATCCATGTTGTATATTCATTTTAAAAGTAGCTGAATGCATAAGAGAGTAAGTAAAATATAAGATTATGACATATTCATGCACTATTAGAAGACACGGGAATATAATATTACATTTCAAAGTGTTTTTCTAAAATGAAGGCTCAGTGTATTGAAACTCAAACCATATGGATTAACAAAAAACATTCTTGAGGTAAATATCCTCATTTTGTTCTGGGTCATTTAATGACCTGGAGATTTAGGATTCTGCAAAGATTCTCTGAAATTTGCCAATGAAAATGTCCCTTACAAAACTACCATTGTTTTTAGTGTGAATTCATTATTACTTCAAAAATGGTTTGAATGTCATATTCTCTTTTTTTTGTTTTTGTTTGTTTGTTTGGCAGGATTTTCATGATATTGAAATATTTTGGAAACTTCAAATCAAAGAGCAAAAATCTTTTATTTTCAAAGTTTTGGGATTTTGTACTGAATTTTTCACACCTTAGTGGCCCAGACTAATTCCTGGTGTAATTGTGCTGGCTTTAATTTTATGTCCATTTTGCTCCACAGTTTGATGACTGGATCAGCAGACTGATGGTTTAAAAAAAATTGAACTGTCCTTTCTATACCTTTTTTTTTTATAATGGATTAAATATGAATTGAGTTAATTTATTGGGTATGGGAGCATGGAAGACCTTCATGGAGGATATCCTCATGTTCTCAAGGAGGCAGCTGAATACTAATTGACATTTGGATGTACACATTTATATCCCCTGCAGCTAGGTTTTAAAAAGAACTAGGTAATTTTATGACCATTCATAACATTTGTAGCTATGCAAGCTAAACTAAGATAATGATATGGATAATCAAATCTCCAGTTTAAGGTCATAAGCTGGTCACCTACAGTGGACAGGAAGGATTCCCCCCCCCCCCCCCATGGTAGTGTAGAATTTGCTGGCTATATTAGAGATTTTTTTCTGAAGCTTCATGATTTTGACAGGATACAAGACTAGACAGACTAATAGTCTGTATGGTGAATCTTAGGGGTGAGTTTGAGCCAATGGACCAGATTTTTAAAACTGATTAGTGATTTTGGATGCTCCACTTGAAATACCTTAAGTATGCTGGATTTTGAGTGGGGGAGTGGACAGCATGTTCTGAAACTGACTGCTTTAAGACTTTTCAGATTGGGCACCCCAAAACTGAGGTACCCCAAATCACTAGTCAGGTTTAAAAATCTTGAGCACAGAATTTGGATTCTCTCCATGGAATGGAGTTCCCTCAAAGTTAAGGGGTATTTAGGTATCAAATTTTTTTTCTGGGCCCATCTTCTGTTGTTCTCTTGGGTCCAATAAACATAATTTTATGACAGTACATTAGCTTCTTTATAGTGAGGCTCTATGCTGTAAATTTCATCATTTTTTTGTCCATTACCCTACAGCACTTACACTGGACCAGATCCTTCAATAGTGCTACTCTGATTTATACTAGTTGAGGAACTGAGCCAGAATGTTTGGCTTCAAAGAAAGCCTTTCCAAAGAAGCAGCACTTGGCTTTTTAATTGGTAATGGCATTTGGGAAAAGAAAGTGACACAGGCCCCGAAAATGTGTGACAAAGTGCCAGCATGAAAGACATGACAAAACAAAATAGCAGAGGAGGGTGAAATGATGCGTGATTCATTCCTTTAACAGATTTTCAGTGTTCCCTTCCCTTTCATTATTCACCATCGGTGTGCAATAAGAAATGGTGAGATAGCAGTGGGTGCGTTAGAACAGAGGTGACTTTGGGTCTAAGAAGAGTGGTGAATGGGAAGGCATGCCACTGATGGACAGCAGCAGAATTAGCAAGACTGAAACATCTCTGGCCCTACCTGATCAGAGTGTAGATTAATAAATATTGTATGAGCTGTCACACATTGCTTGTTTAAACTGAGAAATCCCAGAAATGATAGTGTATTGCAAGCATGTCTTGAATTTATTTTTTTGGGCAAAGGCATAGCTATATAGCATTATTAGCAATAATACATCTCTGCCCTACACAGTGCAAGGACAGGGTCCCTCACATATATTGTGGAGAGATGGTAACTGACTCAATGGAAAATTGAAATCGGAGCTTGGTAAGTGGCATTGGGAGCAGGCAGTTCCTGAGATTCCTTGGAATTTAGGAGATTATTTATCTGACTGCAGCACACATTATTTACAGCAACTTAATCTGCTCGCAGCAGACCCAAATTGCTTAGCATCCTGTCAAAATTTCTGTCAGAAAATCAGTGGCTGGCCAATTGTGAACTTGTCCAAGTGACAAGTGGGCACAGTGACAGAGATGGCATTTTGGGTTTTCACATTGAATGAATGCAGCTGTAGCGTGCGGTAGGCGACTCTTGAAAATGAAAAATATTGATGGGGAGAGGAAAGTTAAAAAGTGTAATCTGAATCCTTCAGACTTAGCATTTTTACTGTGCCATTGTGTTTTTTCCTTCCCCTTTTCTTCTTGTCAATGAAACTCTTAGATGTAGAAAGAGAAATCCATGCAGCGCCCCACGTGAGCGAGAAGTTAATTCAACTCTTTCGGAATAAAAGTGAGTTCACGTTTCTGGCCACCCTGCAACAGCGGGCATCAACTTCTGGAGTTGTACTGTCCATCCGAGAGTTGGAGCACAGGTAAGAGGAAATCTCTTCTTTGCTGAAAGCTTCACTTTTCTTCTATAGCAGAAGTATCTCTGCACTTAATGGTCTAGCATGACATTGAGCTAAAGTAGTTGATGAAACATCTGAAGTGACAGTCAAAGTCTCTGTTTCATAGATTTCAGTCAGCTAATTTTTTGTTAAAACAAAAGGAGGCAGGATACTTTATTCGGTAAAATACTTCGTATTACTTTTGATCTTTTAGTTACTTTTAAGCCAACGAGGTAAATAATAATAATAATTATTATTAATGGAGATATCCCATCTCCTAGAACTGAAAGGTCATCGAGTCCAGCCCTCTGCCTTCACTAGCAGGACCAAGTACTGATTTTGCCCCAGATCCCCAAGTGGCCCCCTCAAGGATTGAACTCCCAACCCTGGGTTTAGCAGGCCAATGCTCAAACCACTGAGCTATCCCTCCACCCCATGTGTTTAACACACCATAGAAGTTCTAGCCCCTGTAATGTCATCTCTATTCATCATATGTTTCACTTCTTCATGGATGTTAAATCTACATACATTGCACAGTCCCATGCTTCCTACTTCACTTCATTTTGTATCATTTTAAATAGTTTCTGCTCTTATGAGGTCTAGCAATTAGACCATTATTGAAACCTATGCTTTGGATGCCTTCCAGATGGTGATGCATTTTATGTTCCCTTCCTGAGATATAAATGTAGTGTGAATTTAAAAAGATTTGTCTTCCTTTACTGTCAATGGGAAAAATGGATCTATTTGGATAGCTGTTGTGACGTTGCACTCCATATGCTTTATGAAAATATGCTTGGAATGCGAATATAATGTAACTGGAATATGCTTTATGCAAAAGGTCTCTTGTAAGGTATCATTACAAAGGTTATAATCTACTGAGTGTGTTCATCCTATTTGTATGTATGTATCATTCTTGTATCTAAAACTAGAAATATGAAGTTAATTCTAAGGTCCTATTGTAATTATGCAAAGTTTGGGCCATTAATGGTGGTTTAGAATCTTGATGGCACCCATTGACTAGGACAATTGGCTGTAGATGGTTTATTTACCTGCAAGCCTTCTTGTGGACGTGAAGGCCAGCCTGTGGGTAATGAAGAATGAGATCTTACAGTGACATGTGACCATGTCACCTGATACTTGAATTCATCTTAAACCTGGTGCTTTTCCATTTAGAAGGAGGGGTGGGAACCCAGAGAGACAAAGGATTCCTGCCTTGGGCCAAATCTATAAAAGGGGGTGGAACAGAACAAAGGGGGCTGCAGTCATGAGAAATCCCCTAGTTACCACCTGAGCTGGAACTAACAAGAACTGTACCAGGAGAAAGGATTGGGCCCAGACTAAGAAGGAGTCTAGTTTGTGAAAGAAGGTTATTTGAACATCTCTGAGGGTGAGATTTACCTGTATTCAGTTTCTTAATGTATTAACATGCTTAGACTTGCATGTTTTTGCTTTATTTTACTTGGTGACTTACTTTGTTCTGTCTGTTATTACTTGGAACCACTTAAATCCTACTTTTTAGTCTTAATAAAATCACTTTTGTTTATTATTGAACCCAGAGTAAGTAATTAATACCCAGGGGAGCAAACAGCTGTGCATATCTCTCTATCAGTGTTATAGAGGGTGGACAACTTATGAGTTTACCCTGTATAAGCTTTATGCAGAGTAAAACGGATTTATTTGGTGTTTGAATACCATTGGGAGCTGGGTGTCTGGGTGCTGGAGACAGGAGTACCTGCTGAGTGGCTTTCAGTTAAAGCCAGGGCTGGCTCCAGGTTTTCTGCCACCCCAAGTGGTGGGGGAAAAAACCCAAAACGATTGGCTGCACTTTGGTGGCAGCTCAATCGCGCCATGCTCCATTCTTCGGCTGCAGTTCGGCGGTGGGTCCTTCACTCCCTCTCTTCCTCTTTGGCAGCAGCTCAAAGAGGAAGAGAGGGACTGAGGGACCTGCCGCCAAATTCCCGCCGAAGACCCGGACGTGCCTCCCCAATAGCGGATGGAGTGCCGCCCCTTTGTATTGGCCGCCCCAAGCACCTGCTTCCTTAGCTGGTGCCTGGAGCTGGCCCTGGTTAGAGCCTGCAGTTTTGGGGACATGGTTCAGACCCTGAATCTGTGTTGCAGCAGGCTTGCATGTCTGGCTCAACAAGACAGTGTTCTGGAGTCCCAAGCTGACAGGGAAAATGGGCTCAGAGGTAGTTTCAGGTGACCGTCCCAAGGGGGTATCTGTGACCGAACCCCGTCACAGCTATCATATCCAGAATGGCAGACATTCAAGTTTCTCCAAAAAAGGAGGTAGAACTAATAAATAACAGGTCCAATGACAAAGTTATTCCATTGGTTTTGTGTGTGTGTGTGTGTGTATGTATGTATGTATGTATGTATGTATGTATGTATAATATATATATAAAATATGTGTGTGTGTATATGAGAGAGAAGGCATTGTGTCAAGTGGTCAGATGAAGGGAGTGGGAATCAGCACTTCTGGGTTCTGTTGCCACCTCTGCTACAGACTCTCTTTGTAGCCTGGAGAATGTTATTTTTTCCCCTAGATTTTTAAGGCTGAAAGGGACTGGTGTGATCATTTAGTCTGTCCTCAAATAACACAGGCCATAGGACCTCCTGAATTCATTCTTGTTTGAACCAGAGCATAGCTTTTAGAAAAACATCCAATCTTGAGTTTAAAATTGCCATTGATGGAGAGTCCACCACAACTTTTGGTAAATTGTTCCAATAGATAACTAGCCTCACTGTTCAAGGTTTGAATGTTATTTCCAGCTTGAATGTATCTATCTTCAACTGCCAGCCATTGAATCTTGTTATACCTACTTACTTAAGTGGGGATGATAATACATGCATACCTTATTGGGGTCATGTGAAGCTTCTTTATTTAATGTTTGCAAAGGTCTTCACATTATAGACATTGTGTACAGTATTGTTACTCTAATGTATTGTCATATCCTGACACAGATGTTGCATTTCCTGACTCTTTATATTAAATGCTAATGTAACTCTGCCTTTTTGGTGGAAGTTGGACAGAGCTAGGCTTTGGCTTCCTATAGCCACTGGCTGCTAACCCTATGAATAATTTTATTAACTAGAAATTTTTCTTTAGATTTTAAGCATTAAATACAGAATGACATGTAAGGTGGTGTAAGTTAGACACCCCCCAGTTTACATTCACTTAGACACCCTAACTGTTAGTTCTCATCAGACCCACAAACCGACGTGTAAGGGAGTCTTAGTGGGTGGAATTTCCCAAAGAGGAACTGGAAGAAAGTGTATATTAAAGTAGGGTGAGGAGGATATTTTTTACAGCTTGTTACTCCCCTGCAGTTCGAGGCCTGATCGAGCAGTGGATTCTTGTGACAGAGGATGATGAAATTAGTATTTTTACCTGTAATTTTGTCTTGATTGAATTAGGACTGGGGCTCCATTGTGCTAAGACTATGAATGTCAGCTGAATCACTACAGATATTTCTCTTGCTCTTTTTGCATTACTGCTAGGCTATTTGTCCATCACTTAGGACAGAGCTGGCACTGCTTCCCTACATGTCTAAAGTTCCTAGCTAAGATGTTAATAGGAACAGTGTTTTCAAATCTGTAGCTTTATGGTGACTGTAGCAATTCTTCAACAGATGGAAAAAGGAAAAAAATACTTTTTAAGGCTGGTGAAGGAAAAATAAAGCAAAGATTTGGGGCATAATACTCCAGTCCTTAGCTTTGATTAGTCATAAGGTTATTGAAGTGGACACAGGCCCTTGACAGATCAGAAGACTGTGGGTTTCAATTGCTGCTTTTGTCAACCTTTGGATTCAGGGCCAGCTCCAGATTTTCTGCCGCCCCGAGTGGCGGGGAAACAAACAAAAAAACGATTGTCGGCGCTTCGGCGGCAGCTCAATCGTGCCGCGCTCCATTCTTAGGCAGCAGTTCGGCAGCGGGTCCTTCATTCCCTCTCTTCCTCTTTGGCGGCACTTCGGCGGCAGCTCAAAGAGGAAGAGAGGGACCGAGGGACCCGCCGCCGAATTCCCGCTGAAGACCCGGACGTGCCACCCCAATAGCGGACGGAGTGCCACCCCTTTGTATGGCCCCAAGCACCTGCTTCCTTAGCCGGTACCTGGAGCCGGCCCTGTTTGGATCATTACTGTTGTGGTTTTATTTTGATTACCAATAGCGTTCTTAGCTGCTCCTCATTTTTAAGACAATAGTCATTGCAAGGAGAGCATTGCCTTGGGGATGGCTGAAGAAGCAGCTGGGCTGGGGCTATTCCTAGCACTGTGCCCTGTGATGTTACTTTTGTAATCTAGAGTCAAAATTACACATAGGACAGGTCGGGGAACTGAGCTGATTCTTTCTTAGACACCTCGCTGCACTTTTAAACCTTGTTCATTACTTAGAGACCACAGAGATAGGTGCTGTATTAAAGAGAGTTTCAGAAAGCTAGGGTATGGAGAGCTTATAAAGACAGTATTGCCTTCATGCAGCTGAAATACTACATAAAATGAGTTGGCTAATCTTTGCCTAGTCTTCAGTGTACAGTAGACTAGAATGCAAAACTACCACATTGAATTTCAGCATGATATGGCTGTCTGTAACAGCTGTGGCAACATGCATACGCAGCACAGTTATTAGCTAACTGCATACAGCGATTGGCTATGAAAAAGCCAAAATATAGCCAACAGTTGCCACTCAGTTGTATCTGAGATTTCCCCTACACATAAAATAGGGAATAACTGTCATAACTGCATGGTATCTTTTAACTTTTTAGTGAAACCACTTCTGGCCTACAGAAGTCTGAATCTTCAGGTCCCTAACACTTGAGTTAATGGAGTTAATATTAGAAGGTGCGTAACTATTGCACACTAATAAACAATTGAATAGGTCAGATTCCACCCAGTAGAGGACAGTGGTATGCATACCTCCAACCAGTTGATTACATTAGTGACCAGTTTAAAGGCTGGTATTTCTCAGGACACAGCTAAGATGATTGG